AACCTAATGATGAGCTTTTGGGGGATACCACATGGCCAAACCGTAAGAGGTGGGGAGTAGTGGGCTCAGTTTGACATGATGAATCTGGGGTGTCTGTGGGACACCAAAGTGGAAAAGCCTGGGTGGATCTGTGGACCAGCCCCAGGAACAAGGATTTAGACTCATGATGATATGAGTAGTAGGGAAGCCATGGGAGTGGACCAGCTGGTGCAGAAAGGAAGAGCATGAAGGACAGAAGGCCACGCGGGAACCTATGGAGATCCAGGACTGAGAACTCTGGACCTCCCTCTCCTGGGATGATGCTGACTTTGTAAGGAGTGGGAAGCTGTTCTTGTGTTGGACTGATCCACCAGGAGGCCAGCAGGCTGGAAGGGAAAATGACTACTGGTGACAGGAAGGAAGAAAGAACCTGAAGGTGACAGAAAGGTGGATAGGGACGATAGGAGAGGAGACGGTCTTTCCTCCCGTCATGGGTTTGAGTCTCGGGCTTCTACAACGAACATCATGTTAACTAAAGAAGAAAATACCTTTACTTAATCTAAGTTACACAACACAGGAGCTCTGACATGTGAGAATGAAGACCTGAAAAAAACATTTAATGCTGAGTGTTTTTAATAGTTTTAATAAGATGTGGAGAGAGATAATAGGCAAAGAGAATCATCTAATGGTAGTAAACTGGGAAACTTGGCGAGCCCCCCTGCCCGCCACGTGCTCTGATTCTTCTCTTTGTCAATAGAGATAATGATATTCCTTTCCTTTGGGTGTAGGGAGGGCTCCTCTCAGTGAGGGCCTTATGACCTGCTTCAGGGGAGACCTTTCTGTTTCTGATGTTTCCTCAAACTTGTTCATCTTAAGTGTAGTCTGAGGTAGTGTGACCTCAACCCCACCGTCGCAGAAGTTGACAGAGCCGCTGTAGAAATGTTCCCAGGCAGGAGGGAGCACTGGCCAAGTGGTGACTACCTGATCATGGGCGTTGGCTTGATGGTGAACAGCAATGGGGACAAGGAGCTGGATGCAGCTGGAGGGCAGCTGCTTCTCGGTGACTGCTGTTTATCGAGCACTTCCTGTGCATCCCAGGTGGTGCCAAGCCTCTCAGATTGACCTGTTAATCCTCGCGGCAACGTTCAGAAGTGGGCACTATTGTTGTTATCCACATTTTACCAATTAAGAACCAGTTGGAAAGGGATGACCTGTCCAGTTCCACGTAATCAGCTGGCAGCAATAGGCTGTGAAGAATCCAGATGTGGCCACCTCGAGAAGCTGAGGTTGTTCTCTGGAGCATACGGGTCAATGTTTCTTCAGGAAATGAAGCATGTTCAAGCTGAGTAATGTGAGGTGGTTTAATAAAGGGACCATTTTTAAAGGTGTGAGTAGGGTATAGCGGAGCCAAAAGAAATAGCATAGGACAAGGGGCAAGAAACCAAGAGGCACTATGGTAGCTTTCAGGCCTGGTGGGTAAGGGAAGAGGGCAAGGGTGGGATCCTGGAAGGGATGGTGACGGAGCCATAGTCTTTGGAGGTGGCCAGCCTGACATGACCCAGCAGGCTCCAGGGAATCTGAGGCATAATTTCCTACCTTTGCAGCCTCCAGCCTCCAGAACCTCCTTAGTGGCCAAAGTCAATAAGAAGCCAAAGGCAAGGGGCCTGCCTTAGGGCATGGACCTGGGGGATCCAGGTGAAGAGTGAACACAAAGATCAGGTGGAAACTTCCAGCACAATTGCGCCAGGGAAGCTGGATTGAGAGAAGTTGAGCAGAAAGTTTGGGCTGGGGCCATGATGGAACAAGCCTGGTTATACCACACAGAGCTGTGGACCAGGATGCGTAACTCTAGGACCACCCAGGAGAGCCAGCCCCGGGCATCACCACGGCCCATTTTGCATCACAGAGCATGTTCAGCATCTCCCCCCAATTCCAGAGTTCAGAGGACCAACCATAAAATAAACACCACACTCGGCAGATGAGCTCCCTCCTGCAGAAGCTCAACCTGCCCCCAGGATACTGCCTGACACTTGTTGAAAAAATTCAGTCTGATTTTCCAGGGTGTTCCCTGCAGTCAAGTGCAAGGTGACTATTATGATTTGGATATGAAATATCCCCTGAAAAGTTCATGTGTTGTAATTATGATATCCAATGTAGCAATGTCCGTAAGTAAAATGATTAGATTATGAGTGGATTAATCCATCTGATGGATTACTAATTTGAATGGACTACTGGGTGGTAACTGTAGGCAGATAGGGTGGGCTGGAAGAAGGAAGTCATTGGGGCTGTGCCCTGGGGGATTATAGTATATTATTGTCCCTGTCTCCTTGCTTTCTCTTTTTCTGCTTCTTCTACTTCACCCTTCTGCCCTCAGGCTCAGAGCAGTGGAGTTGGCCCACAGTGGAATGAACCACTGAAACCTTGAGCCCAAATAACCTTTTTTCTCCCTGAAGTTGTTTTTGTCAGGTAATCTGCTCACAGTGATGATGAGCTGACTGGCACACTGACTGTTTGGCACTGGGTGATGATGTGGAGAATATTCAGAGAGGTTCTCTCTTCTTTCAAGACAAAAGAGAGATGTGCATGTTCTTATGAGTGTGAGAGTATATGTGTGATGTGTGTAGAGAGAATGAATGAATGATAAGTGGCCTGGAAGTGAGGATGAAGTGAGGGTCAGAGCCAGCCTGCACTCCTGGACAGGGTCCACAGGGCACATTTTTTGGCAGCACTTCATTCCTGTGAGACCCACACATTGTGACTTGGTCCTGCACAGCTGGTTGAGAGAAGGACAGGTTGTGAACCCCTTGTAGAATAAGAGTGTGGAGATAGTACCTGGGTTTCCAAATGCACCACGGATCCTGGAGATTGTCACAGGGACAATCCTTGTGCAATGTTTTGTGTGTGGTGCCTTCTGCAATTTTCTTAGGCCTGCTTCCCAGGAGCACCTGAAAAAGTAATATTCTTGAGTTCTAAGCTGGGTAGCTCTGAAGTCCATTCATTCATTTGTTTGTGAAAATCAATAGGAAGGAGGGTTTATTCAGGTCTTCCAATGAACAAAAGCTAAATCAAGTGGGAAATAATCATGAAGACATTATTTTTCATGGGGTGGGATTTAGGGATGAAAAATTCTCAGTTATTGGCCATCAGCATTGTCTTTGATGTCCCCGAACAGATTCTACACCATGGCACCCGAGCCCCCCAATTGCTCCTGGGATTGTTAATCTGATTTTTTTTTTGTTTTGTTTTATTTTGCTTTTCTGTAAAGTTTGCTCTGGCTACCAGAAGACTCAATACCAATCATTATGTTAGTTTTTCTAACGTTTGGAATAGATTTCCTCTTTTTCTCGTTTTTGGTTTCACCTTTTATTCTATGGCATCATTATTTCGGTTTGTGAGTTTTATGGTAGGGACACTCCAAGCCTGTTTGGAGACAGGCAGAGGACAAATTAATATAAATAAAACAGAATGAAGAGCTTAAGATGTAAATACCATGCTGATCCCTGACCTACCCCCATGAGGCTTGGTTGCTGTGATATTACCTATCAAATAAAGTCATAAATAAAGAGAGTGGTTATGAAGGAACATTGTGGCAAGTAATGGTCCCATCTTTATGTTTTACCAATTGTATTAGTCTGCTCATTAAAAAATACCCCCAGAAAGGATGGCTTATACAACAGAAATTTATTTTCTCATGGTTCTGGAGGCTGGACATTCAAGAGAATGGTTTCTGGGGAGGGCTCTCTTGGTTGGTTTCTGGGGAGGGCTCTCTTCCCAGCTTGCTGACAGCTGTGTCCTTATGTGGCAAAGAGAGTGAGAGAGGGGCTGGCGTTTCTTACAAGAGACAAATCCTACTGAATCAGGGCCCCAACCTTTAGGACCTCATTGAACTATGATTACTTTCTTGGAGGCTTCACCTCCAAATACAGCCACATTGGGAGTTTGGGCTTTGCCATAAGAATTTTTGGGGTGAGGCACACACAGACAGTCCACAACACTAACCAAACTGGTTTGAATACTGGCTCCCATAAAATGTGCTGTATTCTTTGAGTCTGGTTTTCAGCATCATTGAAACTTTATCTCTTCTGTGTTCAGATCTCATTCCTGAATTGCTTTGTGATATGTATGTTGTTTGCTTTCTGAGTACCCCACTAGGATGGGGGAAAGCCAAATTTTTGTCTATTTTATCTTTAGAATAATACCTGGCGCACAGTAGGACCCAATAAATAGTCACTGAATAAAGGAAGGAATGAAGGTATGGATTTTCAAGTTAAGAAAAAAGAAGAAGCAGAAGAAAGAGAAGGAGAAGGGGAAGGAGAAGAGGAAGGAGGAGGAGGAGGAGGAGGAGATCCAATTACTAGTATTTTTAAAAGGGAGGAAATCCTGAGTTTTCTCAAGAGTGATTAGTTTCCAGGCCATCCCACAAAAGGTTTGCAGATTCAAAGCACAGAGCCTTTCAGAACACCCTTGTTCCTTTTTTCTGGTCAGTTTTAATCTAAGTATTCAGCTGGGCTCAAAGCTCATCATATTAGGTGGAAGAGTTAAAGGACATTCTACGGAATAAGAAATATATGTTTTTTTCTTATTTTTGGTGTATTTGATGGTTTTTACCATGATGATATTTGAAACCCAATATACTAGAAATTGTTTCTATAGTTATTGAAATATTCAACTAATTAAGCTGTCCTTCCATTACCATTTAGGAATTGTGGTGTAGCCACAGCAGCGTGTATTTAACAGTTTCCAAAAACTCTTAAAAGTAATTCCATAAACAACTGTTATTTTGGCATATGATAACTATAGGAAATTAATACCTAAAAATATTGTTAAAGGTGGCTGGGGCCAGCACAGAAGAAAACACGAACACTTTATTTCAAATTAGCCTCTTTTTTTGTACGGCCAAGTCAGCATCAGTGGAGAGGAAAATTCTACTCTGACTTCATTCATACCATTATTTTAATACAGATGGAAGTTGAGAGCGACTCTGGAACCAATTAACCCACGTTCCTCTTTGTCCTTTCCAGTGCGATAGGTGCTGATTAGTCAACGTTACTGAACTGAATTCATGAAGCATTCCTGAGGTGTGCACAGCCACGCTGAACGTCATCAGGAGTACCAGAAGGATTTGGAGGTAGAATCTCTGCTGCTCTCTGGTTTGTGGCCTCTCTGAGGAGGTGTTAGTACCAGTGAAAGGGCTGTAGATGGTGGAGTAGAACGAGCCTGTGCTGTTCATGGAGTGGAGCTGCTCTGCCCAGGGCTGTCTTCCCTCTTTGCACTCACTCCCTTGGTGGTGATGTCAACGAAGGCTTTTTAATAGCTTCATATAAAGTCTTTATGCTGTTGATTCTCAAATGCATGTTTTCTACCTGGAGTCTTCCCACGTGCATCCCAAATTTGCACGTTTGCAGTCTCTCACCGAACCTCCAGGACCAAGCACCGTCTTCCTGTCACCACCCCTCAGGCTCTCCAGGCCAGAAACCTGAGAGCATTTTAATTTCTCCCTTTCTTTTACCTCCCATATGCAATTTATCCCAAATTTTATAGGCTGCACTTCTTTAACCTCCCAAACAATTTCACCTATCTCCACACTGGTTGGAATCACTACTGTTGGAGTTTCAAGATGGCAGAAGAAGGTGACCTTCTTCTTTCAAGAAGATTACATTCCTGGCCGCTCCATGGCAGGAAACCAAGAGAGCATACAGGCAGCTTCTCAGCAAGGGGGGTGAAAAAATGGGGCGCTTTGCTGGGATTTAATACTGGACATTCAAAGCAGATCAGGGACTCAGGAGGTTGGATATGATAAAATAAGAAGAAATCCCTCGTTCTACTGTCAGAGGCACCAGCCAGAGCCATCCCTCCATGAGCAAAGTGGAGGGATGAGGGAATGAAAGAAACTCCCATTTTTAGGCAGCCTGAGGCCTATCTGGGTGCGGAGAGATCAGAGATCAAAGACACTGCTCAACTAAACTGAAAAGTACGCTGCACAACATCCTTGTGCAGGAAAGAAGCCACATCTCTCCTGGCTGCCAGGGAGAATGGAGGAAGGAACCATTTTGCAGCCGCACTGCAGGTACCAGCAGCTGAGGGAGCTGATTGCCAGCAAGCCTGAGTTTGGCCCAAAACACAGACCTGGCAAACCTACATGACATGACATATGGTGTGCCTAAGTGACCAGGAGAATCAAACATGGAGAAGGGTTTACACAGAAAAATAATGGTCATGGAAACCCACCTGGCTCCCCCACTCCCTCTCCAATCTGGCTGCTTGCAGAACCGACTGGGAGAGACGCCCCTGGCTGGGAATTTGAAAAGGGAAAGGACCCATGTGATTAAGTTTGGAGATTATATGGGGTCTTCAGGTGATGAAGGGGACTAAGAATTGGAACCCAGGGGAGATTCCTGGGGTTCAGTCTTCCTGAGAAGACAGGCAACTGCTGGGCCCTGGAGGTGTGAAGATTTAAAGTTTCCAGACCAATCACCATTCAATCAAGAACCCGGAGCATACCTAAGCCTAAACCCCACCTCCAGGAGCTCCCCCTGCAGGATTTCCCCTCACACTCCATCAACCCCACCTAACACTGCTGAGAAGGGAAGCTGAGAATCTTTTGAACTACAATGGAAGAAATTCTTCAACTTTTTATTGAGATTTTAAAAAAATTCTTAATTAATTAATTAATTTTTAGTTCTTCTTTTCTCTGTTTGTGACCTGAATGGTTCATGGAACTTACACATATTCATATTTGTTTTTCTCCTCTCTCATGTGTAGTATTTTTGAAGCCAGTTATTTTTTATGGATCAGTATTCTGGGGACTAGGATGTTTGATTAGTATATTTTGACTTTGTTTTGTATTCTTTTATTTTTAATTTTTTAAATTTTTACTTTATATATATTTTTTTCTCTCACTTATCTGCTTCCCTTGATTCTCTTTCTCTCTTTCCTTCTGGTAACAGCTGATCTCCATTGTTCTCTCACTCTTCTTCCTTGAACCATGACTACCTCTCACTGCATGGCACTAGCAGCCTTCTAACTGGTCTCCTGGCCAATCTGTTCTCTTCTCAGCAGCTGGCGACGGAAACATAAACCCCATTCTATTACTCATTTAAAATCTTTCATCATTGTCCTCACCTGGGGTAAAACCACTCACAGGTGGAGATGTGCGAACGCATGTGAGAACAGGTCAAATCTAAGTTATGTCTGTAGCTAGTTAACCGTGTAATACTGAGGGTAGTCTCCTGCTGTTGATATTGTACTACACTTACATAAGGTGTGACCTCTGGGGGGAGTAAGTGAAGGACTGATGGAAATCTATGTGATAGAAATCTATGTACTAATTTTGCGATTTCATAGGAGTCTATAATTAGTTAAGAATAACAGTTTTTAAAACAGCTGATTGAATAGAAAGAAACCCCTTCATTAACTTCCCATGACAGCAAATCCAACTCCTTACCACGGCCTGCAGAAATTATCATGTACTGTGTGGACTCCTGCCAACCTCATTTCCAGTCCTACCCAGTGTCATTTGCATATCCCAGTTACTCTTCCCCAGCTACACTGGATTCCTGGCAGTTCCTAAAACAACACAAATGCCTTTCTGCTCCAGGACATTTGTATATGCTGTCCCATCTGTCTGGAGGGCGATTCCCAGGGATAGGTGTTCCTCATTCTTTACAGAAGTCTCCTGACAACTGATACATTCTGGGACCCCACTGGGCTCTTAATAGAACTGCTTGTGGTCTGTAAGAGGTGTTTTAGTATTCATTGGTACTTATATTCTAATGAGAGCAAGAGAAAATGAACAAATTGTGTCTATTTTATTTATGAATGTATTCTTGTTCACAAATACAGTACAGGGCTGGGGTTGTGGCTCAGTGGCAGAGCGCTTGCCTGGCACATGTGAGGCACTGGGTTCAATCCTCAGCACCACATAAAAATGACTAAACAAAATAAAGATATTATGTCCATGTATAACTAAAAAATAAAAAATATATATAGTGCAAACAAGTGAATATGCTTTGGGGTCCCAGAAAATGGGGACATCATTGTCAAAATAGCTTTAAGAATATTTCATTTGAAGGCCTGTTAAAACTTGAATTAACAAAAGGTATTGGTAAAATGTTGGGGTGTGCGTGCATGTCTATATGTTTGCACAATTAGGATTCTGTCTTCAAAATAGAAATATATCTCATGGATATGTACAATTTCATTTCATGTTTTGTCTACTTTGAAATTCTGCCATCTGTTATAAAACCAATTGCAGAAGCTACAGCATGGTCTAAGTCTTTTTAAGTTCCCACCAATAACCTTTGAAATTATTTGGACTAATTTTGATATTTTCATGTAGAATAAAGGAGGGAGATGAGGTGCTGCATTTAGGCTAGTTTATCTAAAATACTCAATGTTTTATTCTTATTAAATATGTAAATTCTCAATTTTAAAAAATTTGAAAAATACATAAAGATAAAAACAAAAAGAAACAACCTAGTTATCTCATTATTCACATTTGTATTATCATATAAAGGACATTTTCTACAAATATTTCCTTATTAAATTTAGAAACATACTATATATGAAATATTATATCCTCACTTTAAAATTGAGCATAAACAAGCAATTTTACATTAGTAGGTGTTATTTGAAACCCATTTTGAAGGAATAGGTGCCAGAATTTATTTTACCATTCTCCCAGAGTGTGGATACATTCCAATTTATTATTATTTTCCTTGAAATGTATGCTACTTTTTTCTAGCTTTTACAAATTTGCAACTAACAAATATCTCTGTCTACAAGTGCTTCTCTTATTTGCTTAGAATAGCTTCCTAGAAGGGGAATTACAGAATCAAACGATATTAACATTATTACAGCTCTTGATAACATATGGTCTGATTGTTTTCCAGAAAAACAAATGCATCTCCCTCTCTGCCTCTATATTACAGAGCTTCTTTGGCATTCTGCCTTCCTTTAGACTGAAATCTGTGTGAATCAGGCCCATCTTGGATTTGTTCCAAGAGATATCTTACTAAAGTACAGGAATTGCCTCTCTCTGGGGTGGTCTTGCATCAAAAATGACCCTGAAGAATGGCTACCCAAAGACAGTTTGATCTTAAGTCTCCTGCACATCTATTTCTTCTTTATTTTAGGGAGAGGTGTTAGTATTCAGGTCTGTTTTCTTGAGCTATGAGTGGGAGAGAAAAGTAGAGGGGGCTGGTGAGTTTAAATTCGCAGAGCATTTCTTCATATCAGTGGAAAATTACAATTTTTGAATAGATACCCATATTTTGGCTGGCCCCATGGTGCTTGAAGAATTTAGGGCATGATTAAAAGAGATGAAAGGAAACAGTGTCAAAAGACCTAGAAAATCTAGTGTGGTGAGCCTGAAAACGGATTTCAAGCTTTGTGACCGGCCTAGTTGCAGCTGTACTCCCTGTCATATTCGGGCCACTGGGAAACTACATGTGGAAGCCAGCACTGACATTTAAGGAAGATTTTTTTTTTTTAATGTGACAACAAGAGAAAAATTGGAATTCCAACAGTCTGACAAGTTTTCTGGAAAAACCGTCATTTTTGTTCTTAATGGGGTAGGAGATGACTCCTCTGAGCCCAGTGGATATTTTTGGCTTGTCCATCTGTGTTTTGAGTATTTAATTCCAAAATCCTCTTGACTGAACACAGTGAGGAATTGTTCACAGGTTTGATTGTGGAGCCAGACAGTGAATTAACAAGGAAACAATGTCTTGCGTGCGTGTGCGTGTGTGTGTGTGTGTGTGTGTGTAGGGAATGTTGGTGCAGAATTATTTATTCTGTGGACAGGGAATCCAATCAGTACACCTAGGTTGCAAGTTCCCTCTTGGGCCTCCTTAGAGCCTGCGTGGTCACTGGTGAGGAGTCCTGGTCACCCCAGGGCAGCTAGACTCTGCATTAACACGCCTATCTGCAGAGCAGCAGCTCCCTGTGTTTCCTGTTGTTCCAGGGCTTGCACAGCTAACAGAGATCCCAATCTGGGCTGGCCTTTGAAGGCGGCTTGGGTGTTAACTAATTACTAGGCAAATGGACTATTACTTCTAAGAGGTTTTTTTTTTTTTAAACAGCATGTTTGTTGATAGTATGATTAGGCTATTTATAGGAATCTTTAAAGCACTTGTCTGAGTATCTTTCTGTAAAAGCAGAGATAAAATGAGTAGGGATGGCAGAGGGGAACAGCAGCCAGGGGAAGCTCTTTAGGTGAGAACAAGGTCCTAAGAGGGTGGGCATGCCCCAGGAAGACCAGAAAAACAACTGTTGCTGAACAGATCATCCAACTCATCTTCACCAGCAATCTCAAGCTGGAGGCTGCCTGTCATGAGAGAATCCAGGTTAATGGGAGAAAATGGTTCAGCCCAAACTCACCTCCTCCTGTGGGGACTCTCGTGGAGATGACTTATGATTACCGTCCTGCAGCATGATGACTTTCTTCTTAGCAGAGAACTCAAATTATGCTTCGTGAGCCAGCCATGGCTTGACTTACAATGCCAGGTGTGGACTGCTAAAGTGGATCCTTCCGGTGGGGACAGAGGGGGCATGTGTGGCTCACAGGAGGCAGGAGGGGCAGGGTGTTCTGAGTGCCTGCAGGAAGCCCTTGGTGGTGCCGGTTGCAAACATGCCTTCTGTCCAGCAGTCAGTAGTTTGCTCTAGGCCCGGCTCACACCGGACAAGCTCTCAGTAAAGGTCCCTTGGCGAGACCTGGCATAAAGATGCACTTTCCAAACCACATAGCTGGCCTAACCCATGAGTGGAGAGGAGGAGACTAGCAGGGCCTTTGCTGATCATGTGATTAACACTTGAAAACTATAGCTTCTTTTTCTTTAGTTTTCTTTATTTTTATTTGTCCTAATTACTTATATGCTGGGAGCCATTAGCCAAGTGGGTATGACAATTTCCTTGCCAGCGTACCCCATGTTGCAGTGACATTGAATGTAGGTGACCTTGCTCAAAGACCAAGGCGGATTAGGGTGTTCCCGGTTAAGATAATCGGGTTTAGGGCGTTCCCGGTTTAGGTTCCAGGTTTAAGGTTTAAGATTATTCCCGCTGGGAATAGGGCATATCCTGCTGCCTGAGTTCCCCTTGAGTTCTCACGGGATTCAGACAGTATTTTTTGGGAGACAGATGCCCAGTGGAGGTGGATTTGGGCAGAGAACGTGGATTTGGGCAGAGAACGTGGATTTCCCCAGAACGTGACTGTAGACGGCTGGTGTGAGTTCGGGAATAAAGAGTTGCTGTTTGAGTCTACAAGCTGTGTGGTGGCTCGTGATTGTGTGCCCAGCCAGACTGCGGCATTTGTGCCCAGCCAGACTGTGGCACTTATACATGACAGTAAAATGCATTTTGACCCATCGTAGAGACATGGAGCATAACTTATTCTTTTGGTGGTTCATGATGTGGAATCACAATGCTCATGTAATCATATATGCACATAGGGTAATAATGTCCAACACATTCTGCTATTTTTCCTCCCGCTACCCCCTTCCCACTCTATACTCCTTCCAGCCAATCCAAAGTACCTCTATTCTTCCCTAGTCACCCTCCCCTTATTGTGAATTAACATCTGCATATCAGAGAAATCATTCAGCCTTTGGTTTTTTGGGAGGGGATTGACTTATTTCACTTAGCATGATATTCTCCAGCTCCATCTATTTACAGGCAAATGCCATACTTTCAGTCTTCTTTAAGGCTGAGTAATATTCCATTGTGTGTATATACCACACTTTCTTATCCATTTATCTGTTGAAGGGCATCTAGGTTGTTTCCATAGTTTGACTATTGTGAATTGAGCTACTATAAACACTGATGTTACTGTGTTGCTGTAATATGCAACTGGGATAGCTGGTCAAATGGTGGTTTCATTCCGAGTTTTCTGAGGAATCTCCATACTGTTTTCCAGAGCAGATGCCCAGTGTGATGTCCTTCTGAGTCTTTGTGGCTCTCCATCCAGTTTGTAGACAACCGACCATCTTTCCACGTGGGTTGCCTTTATAAGGTATGCCACCTGCACCAGCTCTGTGAAGTGCCTCCCTGGTAAGGAGACTACCCTAGGTGGAAAGATGGTAATGAAATTTTACTTCCATTTGGTTCTCTCTGATCTTTTTCTCTATTCTGTTCTCAGATGAAATGAATGATCCCACAACAGAATAGCAGTTGGTACCAGCCTTTTCTCTAGTAACCTTGAATCTTACAGTACACGTGCACGGGGATGTGGTGATAGGTCTTAATTCACAGCAAAGGAAATTACCATTTAAAAATCATGACTCTTACCTGAGATATTTAGCAAACGGTACCCACCACTTAACTGCTCTGGACTGCATCTGTGGACAAAGTCCGATATGATTGCATTCGAGTTCCCATTGAATCATTAACCGGTGACCTGAGGGAACCCATCCACCTTCCTCAGTCTCATATCTAAACAGTCAGGCTCCAGTTATAAGGCCCCACCCAGCTGCTGAGTTGGATGACTTCATCAAGTTAATGGCAGTTCCAACTTTCCCATTTTGTTGTTCCCCTCCTCCCATTAGGGACCTCCCAAGCAGGCTCTTGTCTTCCTGTGAATGGGGAGGCTCTGTAATGGTCAGGGAGCCATGAGTCAAGAGGCCCTTGTTCTTAATCTTTGAGTCTCACTTTGCTGAACAGGGGATTTCCAGTCATGGTCTACATGGCGTAGGCTTCCCCCCATATAGAAATGACCCACCTTCCTGCTTAAGATTCCAAATACATTTATGTTAAAATGTGCTTGAAACAATGTGTTCTGAGGTTGCTTAGAATTGGTTGGATTAAAAAAAAAATGAGAACAAACAAATATGGAAGCACTGAATGGAATAGTTGAAATTCAGCACACAGTTGCCTACCCTAAAAAAGAAATGCATCCTTGTGTCTACACCCTGGGGCAGGCACGCACAGCACAGGCTCATTTCACTAATGACACAGTGACCAAAGGAAGAAGCTGACCTGCCCATTCAAGAACAAGTAGGAGAGGTGGACCTTGCACATTCCAGCTAGGACTCCAACTCAGGTCTTCCCTCTTAGGCCAATTCTCTTTCCAGTGCTCCAACTCAGCTTTCCAAGCTGTATATTTGAGCAATATCATTGTTTATATTTATGCTATGTGTAATCCAAGAGCTGTCCCCATTTTTCTCATGTGTGATCCTGCAGAATAGATACCACCGACACATTTAGAAAGCCTTTCAGAATGATTCGCATTTGGAGAAAGATTCTGCCACAAGACATTCGTACCAGGCAGTCAGAGAATCCACAGCCTCCATTTGTGTCTTATGAAAGTTCTTTTATAAAGCTGAAGAGACCGAAATTCCTGCTTTGTATTTTAAAAAGATTGGTTATGAATGCCGATGGTTGGTTTTCGCCTGTCTTCTTTCTATTTTTGCTGTCTGGTCGGCACAGCCGTGGCCTTTGGAAGCAGCTGGGATATAAATATAAAGTGGGAATGGAGGCCCATTAGCGAAGGGAACAGCTGACGAAGCACAGCTACGCTCTGCAGGGCGGCCCGACCAGCCCGGGCACGTTGGTTTCGGTCTGATTGACTTGTCGGCTTTATGCTGAGCCGGCTTTAATGATTTAAGGGTTGGCATAGGAAGCAGGGTTTCTTGCCATGAGACGATCCATCTCTATTTGTAATCTACGTGGTAATTAAAACCAGACTTTTTGTTGGAGCATCGGCTTCGACAGCATTCTGAAATGTACAATTACGTGATGTGCCCACTTCCAGCTTAGTTTTAAAGGTGCACGTTACGTGTTAGTAAAATGTTTTTTAAAAAATCATTTATGGTTCTATGTCGGTTGATGGGCATCATCCTTGCCAATTTGTAGATGGGTCAGTTCGTGACTATATGTCCTCACCTTGGAAAGGTGCTAGTCTAAAAGCAAGGTGAGCATTTATGATGACATTTGTGATTCCTTTTGCCAATCTTGGCCAAGTTTTGTTTCTATTCTCTTCCTTTGTTTTTGGAGGGGTTGTTTCTTAAACTTCTCAGGAGGGAAGATTACGATTGATCCTTAGTAATAGTCGGCTTACAACTCAAATTATTCACTCTAACGTTTTTCTGTCAGGGAACTAGAAGTCATATGCGTGCACCAAGTAGAAAACTCTCCCCTTATTTTGCTCTCTGCTCACTACAGCAAGCACTGAGGAAGTGTCCACGCACTGACAGCCACCCTGGCATAACAATGGTTGGATGCAGATGTGACCTCAGCTTCTGCAGGAATGCACAGCTCTTTTGCCTGTTCAGCGAACTCCAAATATTTTGTAGGAAAAAAAATACACTTATATATATTTTTTCTATTACAATAATTAAAGGTTGCTTTGGCTTTAAATATCCAGAGAGCACATGACTCAGACTTCTACCTTCCCATGTTTTCCATATGTGCCAGTGTTTAGAACAGTGCGTGGCTCAGTCTAAGTGCTCCGTAAGTACTAGCAACTATTCTTAATTGTCTAGTAATTGTCTTGCTTTGCTGATTCTCTGGGTAGTTAGGAGCATTTTGAATCATGTGGCATTTTTTCAGAGGTTCATGCATCAAAAACCTTCCTGTCACCACTCCAGGCAAACTTGCTCTTCTTTCAGAATTTCCTATCTTGGTACAGGGTACCACCAGTAACGTACACTAGCTTACTCCACTGGCCTCCCACCTGCCACAGGGTCTTTGCATACACTGTTCCTTTTGCTAGAATGTCCTTCATGCTTCTCCCAGTTAACTCCTGCTCTTTATCAAGGACCACACAGCTTAAGCCTCCTTCTGCAGAGATGGCCTGTTGGACCCCCTGAACAGGCAAATCCTATGCACCGCCTGTCTAGCACTTAGCACATTGTGCCATTTTACATTTAATCATGTGATTATTTTTTTGATTAATGTCTACCTCTTCCATCAGGGTATAAGCTCCTGAGAACTGAAGCTTTATTCATTTTTTTTTTTTACCATCATGTTATCCCTAGAACATAGTGTGTTCCTGAATAAACATTAGTTGAAAGAACGGATTAGAAGGTTGTAGCCCATGTGTTGTGTGGAGTGGTTCACCAATTGTTTATAGTTTAATTACAAAAGTGACACAAAGTGTTTGTAATAGATGGTAATAATGTAGAAATATATGTAGTAAGAAATAAAACTGCTCCTGTACCCCATAATCTCCTCTCCCAGAGTATCCACTATTGACACACTATTAACACAAGCTTGGCTTACATTCTTCCAAAGTTTTTTCTCCCTCTATATTTAGTAATCATATCCACTTATATAGTTCCTACAGGAAAACAGGATCATATGTGCATTTTTGTTTGTATGTTTTATTTACCATTTTAGTGGAACTGTCTTTGTAGGTCTGTGCACAGTATCTCATGCTTATTCAAGTGATGATGAAATACTTCAGAAAGGCCTAAGGAAAATAAAGTGAGCACTCTTGAACTTACCACTCAACTTAAAAAAGATAGCAAATTCCCCTCCACCTGAGGTAACCACTACCTTGAATATGGTGGTTTTTTTTATGACCACTGAAGGTTTACATCTATAACCACTGAATAGTCTTTGCATATTTCTAAATTTTATATCAGTGGTCTGCATGTATTTTCTGCCTCCTGATATTTGTACTCAACATTTTGTCAGATTCATTCAAACTGAAACCAGTAGCCTGGGCAAGTTCATTTCCCTCATGCTATAATTAACAATACAGTCTATTGTTATGCATTTGGGTAGCCATTCCTCCTTCTCCTTTTTTGGCTATTTCAATCAATGCAGCTATAAACACTCTTGCATCTGCCTTCTGCACATGGGGGAGAAGATTTCTCCTACTTGGGAGGGCAAGGGCTGAAGGGCACGAAACGCCCATGTCCTTAGACATGGCCAACTCTAGTTCCTGAAGTTCTTTTTTTATTTTTTGCCTACATGGTATCTCATAAAAATACCATACATTCATGTATTTCATAGTATTCCATAAAGATGATGTACACTGATTTATTTATCTGTTCCCTACTGCATATACTGGATTTATCTGGGGGGCTTAAACAACATGAAATGTCACCTCTCTTTAGTCGGATGACCACATCGGTAGGGCACGGGAGGGCTGGGCGGCCCTCTGCAGTACTGGGACTCAGTGGACCCTTCCCATGGAGCTTCAGGAAAGCTTATTCTCAATGGATGGTGGAACAAGGGATTAGGAACCTCTAGTCCTCAGTGGATGCTCAGCAGAGGCAGGCAAAGGGCTCAGGCCCCCAGCTCACATAACCGGCCTAAGCCTGGGAACTGAGTCACAGCGGTAGGCCACAACAGAGAGGCCGAAGGAAACATGCTCCCTTTTGTCTGCACCTGTAAAAACCCCAGTATCAGCTCCTGGGCTGCATTGTCCTGGAAAAGGGGAAACAGATGGCAACTTAATAGGAACCTGATAGCATTGTTTGGGACTGAGCAGGGAGTGTCCTCTGGGGACTGGGAGAGAAGTTTCAGCTAAGAATCACAGCAGCTTAAAGAAGGTGCTTTCTGTGCTACTTCCTCCCTCCCCACCTCGGCCCTAGGAGCTTGGAGCTGGAGAAGAATGCGCACAGGCCTCCACTGTCAGCCTGCTGCCAGGCCTGCCCAAACTCCCCAGGGGCTGTGCCCAAGCACCTTTGGGGTGTGTGTGTGTGTGTGTGTGTGTGTGTGTGTGTGTGTGTGTGTACGCTGGGGGAAGGAGGGTTGGGATGGTGGAGTAGCTGGGATGGTGAAACACAGGTTAACCAGAGGGGCCTAGCCCATGAGGCATGCGTCTAGGCCTTGGGAATAACTCTCATGTCCTTGTCTTCCTTTTTCCTTTTCTGTGTCATGAACCTCGAAAGCTCTTGCCTCAATAGCTACAGATGCTGGGTCTTGCTTTCCTTAGGAGTGGTGGGGAACACGGTCCCCAACTCAGAAATACAAGCTGTGCCAGCAGCCAGCCACGTGGTGTTGGGAAAGTCCCGCAACCTCCCTGGGATTCTTACTGCTGAGGAGATGCCCAGGGTCCCCATCCATGACAGAGCCATTTGGGGCCTACTCTGCAGTGCGGATTACAGGCTGCTGTCGGGTGTCAGGGACTGAAAAATGAGCCCCTCCCAGTCTTACTCCAGTTCTACCTCAGCTCTATGGTGCCTGATCTCTCCTGCACAGAAATGGAGAAGCAGATGGAGCATCAGAGTTAAAGTCCTCTTGGGAACAAGAAAAACTGAGGCTTGTGTGGCTCTGAGGTCTGCTTAGTGACAGCCGCTTCTTTTGAGTTAGCCTAATTCAGAAAGTATAGTAAGTCCCAGATGTTATCCTGAAACACTAAGTGACAAAGTCTGCCCAGCCAGAGCCATGGCCTCAAATCCTTGAGCCTAAGACATAAGCTCCCACACAGGGTTAATACCCTAGGTACCTCTTCAATGTCACTTGTCCCCAGAGTCCTCCTGGTGTCCCATCCTCTTCCCTCCTACTCCCACTGTGTATTTTCTTCCTGGGTAACTAGTTGATTCCCATGGCCACTTCGAGGCCAGAGCTTCTCCAGCTCATATCTCTGATCTGCTGCTCCCCCAGACATTGTGTGGGAAAGGGCTGCTGGGTGTCTTCACCCGGGTGTCCCTGACGTCCACTGACCAGGTCTACACTGCAGCCCTCATCCTCACCCAGAGTCTCATAGGTACCACTCTGGGAGGCCTCCTGGACACATTCTGCCCACGTTCCCCCCAGGCAACAAGCCCGCCCTTGGCTTCTCTTGTCCCTCCTGTCCATGGTTCCTCAAAGCACTGCCTCTTTTTCCAAGCCGAGTCCCCTGTGGTTCTGTTCATGTTACAATAAAGCCCCAGCCCTTCCTGGTGGCATGGGAGGCTCTTCCTGACCAGCCCACTGGCTGCTTTCCAGCCTCTCCCGCCTGCCCCCCTCTGTGCCCCCCTCCAGCCATCTTGAGCTGCTTGCAGCTCCTTCACAGGCTTGTGGTCCTGAGGGTCCTGTTCCCATCAGCCTCCTCTCTCCCTGGTGCCAACCTGAGCTCCTTCCCTGTCTGATGCCATACACTTGTCAGGACTTAAGCAGCATCTCTTTTCCTCCAGGCTGCCTAGTGGCTCTCATCTAGGTGGCTCCATGGCACGCTGCAGTGCCCTCGATCACTGCACTGATGACATTGTTTTAGGTGCTTCTCCAAAGTGCACTGTCTGCACAGTGCCTGGCTTTCAAGATGTGGGATGAATAGACATAAGCTGTACATTAAAAATGAAAAGAAAGTTTCTCAAAGTTTTCTTGGGGGCTAGGGTTGGGACTATCAGGGTTTTAACATATTACACTGTGTTTATGAGACTTGCAGAAGGGACCAATTTTCAATGAATTCCATGGGTCTTCACAAATCCTCATAACTAGCTGGTTTCTTCGATTTCCTTTGACTACTTGTCACCAGCATCCCCACTTTGCTGAAGAGTGGGCCACCTGGAACTGACGCCTGGTGAAACCTGGACGTCGTTACCAAATTTAGGGGAAAAAAAGGTGGAGAACCACATGTCAGCTTCCCAGATGCTGAGGACCAAAGTGGATGGTTCCCCTGAGACTTTTTGTCTGGGCCTTCCACAGAAGCCTCGTGCAAAATTTAAGATCTTGGTGGAGCACAGCTGAGAATCTGGCATTTGCAGTGGGCAGTGGGGGTGACAATGACGTGAGAGTCCGTATTTCATGTTCTGTTCCTGGAGAATTCACTGCAGAGACAGCCTGCCCCCCACCCCTGCAAGTTCTTAACATTTTTGATGCCAACAAATTAATGAAATTTTAAATCCTGACCAAAATGATAACCCCAAGAGGGATAAAAATGTTTTTTGGCATTGGATAAAACTTTCCTATGTAAGAGCTCAAATATTTGCCTTATACGACATGTTTTGTCTCAGGGGTATAAAGTTTCTCCTCTAATCTCTAGAATTATTTCCATTATTTCCAAAATTTCAAAACCTGTTTTAAAAAATCATGGTTTTATCTAAAGTGACCCAACATAGTTAGCTCTGTAAACAGAAGGACAGGAGAAAGAAGAGGGGTTTATATCCAGGGATGAGAAGGTTATTATATTTAAATGCCAGCATGTGACATTTATTAAGAGTTGAAAAAAAATCTCAAGAGCTATAACACCTTAAAAAATACTCTAATGATTTTTTTTTTGAAATTTGAAGCAAAGTGAAGTTATTTACTGAGTTGTTCATGGTAATTAAGAAGCAATTTATCTGTTGTAAGCTATATTTATGTATTTTTCCAATGAAGAAAGCATGAGAATTATGAAATTCAAATGATTAACATCATATATAGATTTAAAAGCAAATCTGAATAGAAATTATTTCTGTCCTTGGATGACAATTTTTCACTTTAAAGTTGGTTATTGTACTACTAAAGGAATCCACCTATATAAAATCAAAGTTGGAACAAGTTACAGTTTTAATCTGAAAAGTTTCTTAATTTTTAAAAGGCAAAGTCACACTGTGTTCCATTATGGTGTTAATAAATTGCTTTTTAAAAAGAATTACATTTAGAAAAATGTGCCTGTCCACACCTTTTAAGAAGCACAGCTATTAGAATAGCAAATGATTTTTGAATTACTATTTAGGACACATTAGCAGATTGTGTTCAAAGCTTGACAACACTCTGATGGAGGACCATTCAATTTTAGATTCGCAACTCACAGTCTCCCACAAATGTGTCAACTAGAAATTGCTGAGACACCCTTTCCCTGCCAGTAGGAAGAAAATCTGGGCTGGACCTTCTGGGCCCCAGAAGGGCAGTACAGGATGTGGACCTCTAGGTTCCTGGGTTCAAATCTTCCTATGGCCACTTCTTAGCTGAGAGATTGTAAGCCAGTTACTCGGTTTTTCTATGTCCCAATTTCTTCATCAGCAACTGGGGACTAATGTTCCCTTCTTTTTAAGTTTGTAGGGTGATTAAATCAATTGATACGAAGTGTTTATGATTGCACTTAGTAGATCCTCAAGAGATAGAAGCAATTACTATTGTTGATTTGTAAATCTCTTTCCAAGGAATTTGTATGAATCAAGGGTTATTTTGTTGTTTGATATCTTCTTAGTACATTCAGACTCTTCTGTAGAGCAAACACTTATTTTTTTATTTAGATAAAATATTTTTCTCTCCGAGTCCTAGCATAAAAAGTTCAAAAACAAAATAAAAAAGACAAAGGGGTGGGGGGGAACTGGCAAGGGTTCAAGTTTTGAGAATTGTTTTAAAGAAGTCATTGTATTCAGGTGGCCTGGCAGGCTACTGTAAACACCAGGAGATGTGAGTAGGAAGTCAGAGCCATTGTGGCTCAATCAAGTGAATGTCTTTTCAACTAAACAGATGGCTATCAGGCTACCAGGGCTGACTCGGTTCCTTTCTGCCTGGTCATTTCCTTTGCCGAGTATCTGCAAGAACCACCCATTCGGGTGGTTCTCAGGATTATAGGTTTTTAGGTCAAACAGAAACCCTGGGGAATGCCTGAAAGAGCCAAATGAGCAGTTGCATGCTGCGCAGGCCGGGTGACGTGGAGCCACTGATGTAGTGTGTAGCGGAGGCTCCTGAGTCCATAACCATGTGACATTCCCTCCCTGTGCATCCACGGGCAGCCGAACGTGTGCTCTCTGCCTGGGGGCCGAGTTCTGAAGGAACTGTTGGAGCTGAAGGTTTTGTGGTGGGCAAAGGCTCTGTGTGAGACACCAGGGTGGCCTCACCGGCTCCTTCATTGACCTCAGAAGTCTGAGCAGTGGCCTGCACGCTTGCTTTGCTTTGCTCCACCATGGATGAGACACAGGAGCCACTGGCCATGACCGTACACCTCCTTGCTGACTCTGGGCATGGCTTGCTTCTGCAGCAGGCTCTGGACCAGCTCCTGGATTGCATCTGCCCAGGGATGCGCCTCTTCCTGGTGTCAGAGCGCGTCCGACCAGTGAAATACTACGAGAGGCACCACCCGAGGCGGTCCAGGTTCCCGGGGATGTCTGTGCTGCTCTTCCTGCATGAAAGCCGTGGAGAGGAGCGCCTGCTTCGCGTCCTGGACTCCCTGCAGCGTCCACCCTGGCAGTGCTACCCTACGCAAGATGTGCAGGGGAGACTTCGTCCCTACCTCCTTGCAAATCAGGAGTTCTACAGCTTGGACAACCAGATGCCTGTCTGGGGCGTCAGGCAGGTGCACTGTGGCACTGAGATCCTGAGGGTGACACTGTACTGCAGTTTTGACAACTACGAAGATGCCATCAGACTCTATGAGATGATCCTGCAGAGAGAGGCCACTTTGCAAAAGAGCAACTTCTGCTTCTTTGGGCTCTACACCACTGAGAACTTGGCTCTGCAGCTCTCCCTGAAGCAGCTACCCCTGGGAACTTCGGTGGACCCCAAAGAGTCTTGCGTGCTGCAGTTCAAGGTTCAAGAGATCGGCCAGCTGGTGCCTCTTCTACCCAACCCGTGTGTTCCCATCAGCAGCACCAGGTGGCAGACGCAGGACTATGATGGTAACAAGATTCTGCTGCAGGTATTTCTCCTCTTCCTTTGTGGTCTTGTACATGACATGGAACTGAGTAGTTTTACTTCTCAGCAGGTATGAGTGTTGATTTAGTCTGATGGTTCTCAACCTTGGTTGCATATTAGAAGCCCTTGGGAGTTTTCAAAAAATTCCCATACACTCTAGACCAGTTAGACCAGAATCTCTGGGTGCTCAGGGACATTTTTTTTTTTTAAACAAAGCTCTTTGGACAATTCTAATATGCAGTGGAAGTAAGAGCCACTGATCTAATTAAGTATGCTCATGTGACAGGTAAGAAAGTCAGACTTGATGAGAAATTTGCAATACTATTGACTTAATTTTTAAGTATCTTAAATCACTGTCAAATTTTACTACAAATCAAGTTAGATGGTCAGGACCTCTTCAAATCTTAAAATTAAAACCTCCTTTCCTAACCATCCTATTGAAACCAAACACAGCTAGTGTATATCACTGTTGTCTCTTACGTGTTCAATGTGGCAGCTGAGCTTTGCCACTTAGTAGTTATGTGACCTTGGGTCTCAGTTTCTTAATTACCTCAGTGAAGGATATTGACATCCGCCTGCAACAAAGGTTCTCATCTGCACAGAATGCCCTAATACTTACCAACCACATCCTTAAGATAGTGCTCAAAACTTTATTTTATCTATTGTTGTTTCTATGTTGCCCTAAAGTCTTTAAATTGATAATTTTTAATACTCATAACCATCTAGGAAGTTGCTTTTTTTCCCATTTTGCAGATCGAAAAACTGAGTTCAGTTACTTGCCCAAGATAAAGCTTAGGAAGTGTCTATCAGACTTCAAAGTCCATGTGGTTAACTGCTGCATCCCAGGGCTCTGAGTCTGTGTATGGGTGTGTAAGTGTGCAGGCACAGGGACATATGCGATGGTTAGAACAAAATATTCCATGGCATCTGCCTTTGAGAAATGATCAGAAATCCCTGTAAGTCCTATTGGATAAAGTAATGACAGACTACAGTAGGACTTGTTTTTCCTTTTAGTTAATTTTTTTGACATTGCTTTAACTTCTTAGTTAATAAAACATGAATCATACTGATTCTACATTAAATGCTTTCTGAATTATTTACCTTCTTGTTTACAAACTATGGCTAGGCACTTTCTTTTGTTTATTATACAACTGTCTAATTTCTAAGGCATCTGAAGTTTCTCCTTCAGATTTAATCTCCAGAACTTAAAGTCAGCCTCACTGGCAAACAAAAACTGAACATGCTTGAGTGGGGTAGGAGACGCCTTCTTACTCATGCCTGTTTTAAAGGCTAACTGGTGTTTTCTTTGAAACCACAGCTTATACAATTAGTTACTGTGGAAAGTTGAATCAGATTTGGAGAGAGTAGAAGGGCTTTTTTTTTTTTTTTTGAAAAGCGAAAAACCATGAAGAATATGGAACTAGCCCCCTGTCCTCTGGGGATTGTTTAGGAGTCTGCATTTGTCCTTTATTCTCAAAGCCCACCTGGAGACACTAGCTCCTTCCTGGTCTTATCCAGAGTTCTCCCAGCTTCCTGTATTTCTGCTTTTCCACTCCAAAACACTAGCCTTGCTTGGTCCCACCACCTCCATGACATGCAAACAAAATGAGGGAGTGTCTTCTGGAAAATTCTGCCCTGGCTTCTTGTCATAAAAGTGCTGGAGGAAAGTGCACAAAGGCTTGGTTGTAGTACACCACAAAAGACAATAGACTGTAGTTTCCGTTTGACTCTTACAGTAGAGTGAATTTTTCAGAATTCAAAGTCCAGGCCAAGCTTTCTGGGAATGGAGGAAAAGGAATGGGGAGGGGGTGAAAAATTTGGCTTTGTAAAATTTTTTTGACATTGCTTTAACTTCTTAGTTAATAAAACATGAATCATACTGATTCTACATTAAATGCTCAGGATCCGACTCTCAGCTCTGCCACCTTCCTCTTGGTTTTGCCCTCAGCCAGCTGGCTGCCAACAGCCCCAGGGACGACATTCTTCACATGGGCTCTGTTTTGGTGTGGATATGAAGTGTCCCCCAAAAGCTTATATGTGAGATAATGCATGAATTTTCAGAGTTGAAATGACTGGGTAGTGAGAGCCTTCACCTAATTGGTACATTGATCCATGATATGGGTTAATTGAGTGGTAACTGTAGGCAGGCAGGGTGTGGCTGGAGGAGTTAGGTCACTGGGGTGTGCCTTTGGAGGGCTATGTTTTGTCCCTGGTGAGGGGGACCTTCTCTCTCTGTTTCCTGGTTTTCATTTACTGAGCTTCTTTCCTCCTCCACACCCTTCAGCAATGATGTGCCGCCTCTCCTTGGGTCCAGAGCTACCGAGTTGGCCATCTACTGGTAACCTCTAAAACTGGTCCCTACTGGTAACCTCTAAAACTGTGATCCAAAATAAACTTTTCCTTCTCTAATTGTTCTTGTTGGATCTTTTGGTTACAGTGGTGGAAAAGCCGACAAAAGCAGGCTCTGAGTGCCCACAATAGTCCAACCAAATTCCTGGGTCCACTCTAATCAGACCCAGTTGGACCTGATTCTCTTCTCTAAACCAGTAATTACACTCAGGAGAATGGGACGGTGTGGATTCCTTTAGTCCTGAGGTGAAGGCCCTACTTTCTACCCTAAACTGCAGAGTCAAACTGGCCTCCGGGACTCTCAGGGAAGAGACAGTTTCTCCAGTGAAGATCAGAGCAGAAGAGACAAATACTTAGTGCCTCCAAATGATTCATGTCCAGTAAATACAAGAAAATAAAACCTACTCAAGGGAAAACCACAACCTCAGGTTAACCCTCCACAGATAATCCCTCCTTGGGGCCAGGATGGAGGCAGCTGTGCCCAGGGGCCTGAGTGTGTGCTAGACCCAGGGGCCATGGAGAAGCTTTCCTAAGGAGCAATGGCTGACCTGCATGGTGAGCTGGATGGACAGAAGGAAGTAGCCAGCTGCAGAAAGGAGGAAGGGCATTCCAAACAGAGGGCCAGCAGGGCACTTCCATAGCAGGGCACATCCAGCAAAGTGCCTGGAGAGCTGTGTGGCTACAGTGAAGGCAGGAGTCGGGGGCTGGGGGGATGATAAGCAGGTGGCCAGAGGCCAAATCATTAGGAGCATGGTCTGCCATGGGATATAAGAATCTTTTCTAGTTTTCTTCTGTGAAGCTGAGACCTAGACCAGTGTGTGCCATGTGACGGGCAAATACATTCTTGTATGAATGCATGGGTTCCTTGATAAGTTAGTTCAATTATAACCTTAGTGTAATGAGTGGTCACTGATGGATCCTACGAATGGTACTGACATGTATAGTCTGTTATGGGACTCTAATGAGAGAACATATGTGGAGGTGTTTGGTAACGTAGAAATTTCCAGAGACCGTGCAAAAGCAATGGAGGTGTGACTTGTGCTTGTCAGAAGGCCACAGCTACCTTGCAGTATGCATCCATTCCACATGATCTTTTTTTTCTTCTTTTTTTATTTGTTTTAATTAGTTACACATGACAGTACAATGATCTTGACATATCATACATTTGAATCAAATGGGGTATAATTTCTCATTTTTCTGAGTGTATAGGTTGCAGAATCACATTGGTTATACAATCACGTATATACATACAGCAATACTAGTGTCTATGTTCTTCCTCACTGCAGATTGTCCGATGTTTCTCAGAATCATGCTTATTTATTCCAGAAATATTTATTGAGTGCCTAACCTGGGCCAGACCCTGTTCTGAACCCTGTTCTCATTTGGGCTGTTTTAATCCTGCATCTTCAATTCTTAGTGGATGTACATATAGAGTGGTTTTCCTCTTCTCTCTCCCCATTTTGCAGTCCCTTTACTTTCTCCCTGTGTATTTTTAAAAAATTTATTTATTTATTCTAATTGGTTATACATAACAGCAGAACACATTTTAATTCATAGTACTCATATACAGCACAATTTTTCATATCTCTGGTTGCTCACAAAGTAGAGTAATACCATTCGTGTCTTCATACATGTACTTAGGGTAATGATGTCCATCTCATTCCACCATCTTTCCTACCTCCATGCCCACGTCCTTCCCCTCCCTCCCCTCTGCTCTATCTAAAGTTTCTCCATTTCTCCCATGCTCGTCCCCCATCTCCATTATGGATCAGCATCCACATAGCAGAGAAAACCTTCGGCCTTTGATGTTTTGGAATTGGTTACTTCACTTAGCATAATATTCTCCAACTCCATCCATTTACCTGCAAATGCCATGATTTTATTCTCTTTTAATGCTGAATAATATTCCATTGTGTATGTATACCACTGTTTCTTTATCCATTCATCTACTGAAGGGCATCTAGATTGGTTCCACAATTTACTTTTGTGAATTGTGCTGCTATAAACATTGATGTGGCTTCATGGGATATATAAAGAACTCAAAAGACTTAACACCAAAAACAAACAAACAAACAAACAAACAAAAACAAATAACCCAATCAGTAAATGGGCCAAGGAACTGAACAGACACTTCTTAGAAGATGATATACAATCAATCAACAAATGTATGAAAAAATGTTCAACATCTTTAGCAATTAGAGAAATGTAAATCAAAACTATTTTTAAGATTTCATCTCACTCCAGTCAGAATGGCAGCTATTAAGAATACAAAGAACAATAAGTGTTGGTGAGGATGTGGGGAAAAGGCACACTCATACATTGCTGATGGGACTGCAAATTGGTGCAGTCAATAAGGAAAGCAGTATGGAGATTCCTTGGAAAACTTGGAACAGAACCACCATTTGACCCAGGAATCCCCAAAGGACTTAAAAACAGCATACTATAGTGACACAGCCACATTTCCCTGTGTTTTTGTCACTGGTGGAAGCAATGATGCCTGTGTGTGTTAAGGGAAAGAAGAATGGGCAATGATGCCCCCCACATTTTCAAACTTCCTACAAGTTAAACCCTGCCCTCAATCAAATAAGCTGTTTAAGAATGAACCACACACAGAATCTGTAGGTCAGCGTTGCTGGTTCTCACCTGAGCCCCATG